AGACAGACCGCTGCAGCACAGCCTGCAGGAACGCCAGTGCTGTCGACAGACAGACCGCTGCAGCACAGCCTGCAGGAACGCCAGTGCTGTCGACAGACAGACCGCTGCAGCACAGCCTGCAGGAACGCCAGTGCTGTCGACAGACAGACCGCTGCAGCACAGTCTGCAGGTGACACTGTCAGGACACAGCAAGGGTCACTTTCTTTCTGGTCTTTTTAAGGGATTTTACTGAACATCAGTCTGCAAAACATCATTAACAATACCACCAAGACCTTTTCATGCTGTCAGTAGTACCACAGTAATAGCAGTAATGCTATTCATAATAATAATAACGAAACATTTGAAACAGCAGCATGGTAGAAGAGCAGTGTATAGTATAAGGGAATGAAAAATGTTAATTCATTAGGTTCTAGTCAATATAAAGTGGTGTTAGGTAATGGGAATGTGATTTAACTGCAAATTAATGAGCCTATAATTAACATTTAAATGAAAATTCTGCCCAATTAGAAGTTTGGTGCTTCTGCTCCCTGCTGCCAGTTCTCCTCGTCTTTTAACATCAGGAATGTTAGAATCCCGCCACGACCCCCAGCGCAGACCGTCCGCCGTCTCTCTGCCAGCAATCCGTCTCCTGGCTGAAGTCTTTCAAGGAGCTCATTGTAACCTCATCTGTGGAAGTTACTTGTCCAACAACGACATCCATCCATCCATCCATCCATCCAACAGTCTACCCTGCAGGGGGCAGGATGTAGGAGACTGGAGTACACCCTGACCCCAGGATGCTAGTTCCACAAACTGCACCTGGAACTGAAAACTACTCGCATGTGTCATGGATGCAGTTGGTGATTGCTGCACACTGTGCACCTCAGTATGCGTTGTCTCCGCTCTGTGATTTTACGTGGCCGACCACTTTGTGGCTGAGTTGCTGTTGTTCCCTATTGCTTCCTCTTTGTTATAATACCACTAACTGTTGACTGTGGAATATTTAGTAGCGAGGAAATTTCACGAATGGACTTATTGCACAGGTGGCATCCTATCATGTTACCATGCTTGAATTCACTGAGCTCCTCAGAGTGACCCATTGTTTCACAGATGTTTGTAGAAGCACTAGGTGCCTAGGTGCGTGATTTTATACACCTGTGGTTATGGAGGTGATTGGAACACCTGAATTCAATGATTTGGAGGGGTGTCCCAATACTTTTGGCAATATAGTGTGTGTGTCCATATGTATAGCATTAACAAGCATTAATTCAGTCTATGAAAAGCTTAAACACTCACACAAATGCACAGCACGGACACACACACGCACACGCTCACAGGCACACGCACACAGCACGGACACACAGCACGGACACACAGCACGGACACACAGCACGGACACACAGCACGGACACACGCACACTCGCTCACACACAGCACGGACACACACACAGCACAGACACACGCTCACACACAGCACGGACACACACAGCACGGACACACACAGCACAGGATCACACGCTCTCTCTCTCTCTCTCAGACACACACACACTCACACGCACACATACAATTTCACGGGTTGAGTGGAAACAGCAGCTCCCTCCCCTGATCTTCAGCTGAAACCGACATGCACGTCTCCTACACGAACACTTGTGGAGAGTCACACCAGGCTAAAAACAGAACCAAACACAGAGCTGTTGGAGCACAGCTAGAAATTAGACAAGGACAATTAAAGTATAGGGTTATCTACCGGATCTACTTTGAAATTAGAACAGTTGTTAACCTCTTAGGTTTTTCCAATTCCTTATGTTATAAAATGCTTTCAGTATGGTTAGGGCAGCAGACTAAGATACTTTGCTAGCTAGAGAGGAACTGGATCATCTGTTAAGTTTAAATACAGACCATTTCCATTTTGACTATACTTCAGAAGTACATATCTATTCCGCAGATCCTCCAGACCAATCTTCGAGCTCCCTGACCTGCAGAAGGCTGCCTTCTTCCTCCAGCGCGTTTCAGCCTAAAGCTGAAATGAATTTTAATGCATGGTGGTATATGCTACCCTCAGTTACCACCCGAGCGTACCCAGCACCGAGCTGGAGTATCACTCCATGTTGTGGATGAAATCAGCTTCATAATACAAGTCCCGTGTGACTCTGCATAAATTCTCATTAAAAAATTGCAAAAGTGACAGCTGACTTGTTTCTTCTCCCATTGTGAGCGTGAACATACTGGAACCAGTCGAAAGTTTGGACACGCCAAGCCGCCTACAAAAGGAGAGTGATGCTGTCACGGGCGAAGACTCGAACCCTGGTCCCAGAGGGGTGAAGTAACAGTGCTAGCCACTGCCTCTGACATTATTTATCAATATTTAATGAAATGTATATCATCTTGTGTGTTCACAGCAGACTAACATTTTCTGCTATTTTTCCCGTATACGTTTTCTGGCCAAAGTGCAATAAAGGGAGTGTAGATCCACCAAAACATCGTTCTTTTATTTCATTTGTAGTTTTCCTACCTGTGACTGTAAGCATCTTTAATACGCAGATGCTACAGGACATTTTATTTGAAAATGCAAACTTCTCCAAATTAAATGTATTATAAAACATTTTTCCTGATCTCTAGGAGCAAAGTTAATTTTATTAGGCCACACTACACCAGGAGAATACATGAATTATTAAATGCAATTTTCATCACACAGCTAAAGATTTATATTCGGTGAAAATAAACCCCTGAGCCAGAACAATTTTAAAGTTATTGAAAAGACAGACAACGTGTTTCATTTGTAGCCACAAAAATCTGTTTCAATCACTATTTAATCCTCCATTAGGCTGCACTCTCTCTCAGCAGGCAAAACTTTGGGAAGAGAGAGTGAATGTTTAGGTAGAGCAAGAAAACAAGGAGGAATTAGAGGAGAAAAAGGAAGGACTCACTTTACCAGGCCAGCGCTCTGGCCGAGCAAGTCTCACATACACAGAAAAGATCAAACAGAAGTTCTCATTCATTATGGGATGTATAAGGAAAACAAGCTTTTGGGAAAAGCAGGTACTGTCATCTTCATCAGTCATTTGCATGTTTTATGGTAATTTTACTTCAAACTCGACATTCGGTGGCTCCTCGGTGCCCCGATGACATGCATCGGGCGACTAAGAGGATTTCCGAAGGGCTCTTAACGAGCGCCAGCCATGATTAAATTAATCAGGAAGCTCCCACAAATGAGGGAAGCACCTTAAAATGCTGTTTTGCCATGCGCCGAGCTTTATGATATTACAGCCGTTTTTGATGCTAAAAATAATATTGCTCACCTTCTAAGCCCCTTCTTTGATGTTCTACAGGGTTTTCAAAGCTGACAGTAATTTGGCTGAGCCCCCCCTCCCCCCCCCATGTGCCAGAAACACCGGTGTATCACTGTGCACAGCTACTAAAGAGTCTGTCATGTTAAGGCACCCCCCCCCCCGAGTGCTTCAAGTGATAACAACGGAAAGTTGCGCCCATACCTGAATCAGCGACAGGTCCACCACACTCAGCCTGAAGAGACGATTTCTGGAAGGAACGAAAACAGACGTCAGCGTTCTAGCAAAGCAGAGTGTGGATCCACGGCGAGGAGCTTCCCTGACTGGACTGAGCACCCGGCTTCCTATCTGCGAGAAACACATACAAACCCTGAAGTTACATTCATGCCGACAGGAATTTAAGTTCCGGAAGCTGCCTCACAGGCATGTGGCATTATGGGATATTTATTCATATTAAAGAGGAGCCGTTTATCAGGGAGTCGTATGCTAAATGGAAGGGGGGGGTTTGTCAGCCATTTACACTGGAAAGAGACTTTTAGGGCAGAGATTACTGCCGCCTGACGGGACGCCACACTAACGTGGCGAAAGGCTGCACCAGAACGGAGGCTGTCCGAGGCACCTGAAAGATGAGCTGAGGACTGACAAACATCTGAGGTCAAAGGGCACGTCCACCCTCCCCCCGTACGGAGATCCCTGCCTCCAAACTGTCACTGGCCAAGCCCCCGTCACCCATCCGCTGGGAGCCCCCCCCCCCCACGTGACAGGCGATGGACTGCTCAGCCGGAAGCATCCTCTCAGGACACCCATGCTGTCCCAGGTGCCTCCTTATTGTGTCACACAGTCACCGAGCCTCATCTTACCCCAACACACACTGCCACACATTTCCCTTCCTCACACAACACAGCGCCTAACGCAGGCACAGCGCCGCTAATGCTCCCCCCCCATTTACTGTCTAACAAGCGGCCCCATGGCACTCGGGTCCGACAGTCTCCCCGCTCCCCCCTCCCGCTTCCCAGCTAATCGGGCCACATCCCACCAGTCGGTCGCAGATCCACCCGCTCTCCTGTCCCCCGACGGCTCACAAACACCACACACTAGTTTCACCAAAGAAACAAAGAGAAATAAAATGACATTTACAGAATCGATACTGATGACACTGCTAAACATTCAAAAGCAGTTGCACCTGGACCTGAAACAAAAGCTTGTCACAGTGAAGATAAACTAAATGCTAGAGAAACTCAGAAAGCCCAATCGTGCCCTTAAAACCACAGGCAAAAAAAATAGCAAAAAAAGGATTCAAAGAAAGACTTAAATAGGGTGTGTTGCCAGACACAGGTAGTAACAGGCAGGTAGTAACCAATTAGGCAATTATCTAATATGCAGGTGAGCTGGAATGCATGTTTCATGTCACCCCTGACTCCCTCTGGTGGCCAGGTTGAGGCATAACATCCATAATCTACTAATGCGTGAGGGCCCAAAACCATCGACTTGTTTCTGGTAGAATAGACTAAAATCCCTTACAGTTGAGTATTTTTCCAAAGTGAACATATCTAAGTATTACAAATGGCAAATTTGCACATTATTGTCTAGGAAAAAAATACTGCATGATTGAATCCAAATTATTCTAAGAAAAAACCCATTTCCGCTGGTCCGTGGCTGCAGTAATGGGAACGAGCATACACAGACTGCCATCTATGAGTACATATGGAGGCTTTCGGCATCACCGTAGTAATTCCTCACTTCCCCTTTGTGTACAGCAGATTGCCAGTAAATGCAACGCCTACTTGGAAATACGCACACAGAAAATGTGATTATTACCAGACCAATAATAATAAGTAGAGAGAAAGCTTCACAGATAAGATACGAGCCCAAGATTGGGCAATTCAATCTCACAGTCTCTTTCCTTGTATTCTTTTATTACCTCATTTGAAATAAAAAACTTAATATATTAAAAAAAATCTTTGAAATTTTAAATAACGGGTCCACAAGAAAATAGCAAATATTTGGCATTGAGTATGAGGATTCTAAGCGGAAGTCCATTACCGAGCTCCTACAATCAGTTCACTTTGGCCGGGGTCAAAGGTCAGCTGTGAGTAATCCACAGTGTCTTCTTCGCTGAACCTATGGATCCACGGCTCGATTTCTGTAACACAGAGAAGAAGGAAAGAAAGATTGGGATTGGTCAGGAGCCGAAGGCTGGGACATACTTCACACGTGTTCATGCTCAACGTTTATGACGCGTTTGATGTCACTGCGCGGACGTATGCGCAGCTCTGGACACACTGCGGATGATTGATCACTGGATACTTTTGACAAGCGCTGGGGTGGTTTTTGGGGTGGGTGACGGAGTGGGATCGGAGCAGGGTGAGTAACTGCCATCCCACATGCAGCGTCGTGATATGTCCGAGCCGTCAACACCGTGTCCCGCCCACCTGCTTCAAGGGGGCGGGACATGGAATTTGTCTTTGGCTCAGACAGCAACCTTGACACTGTGTCACCTCAGCATGGCACCCGATGTCCCCAAGGAACGCCGTCAAAGACCTTCGTCGGGGTGCTGAAAGGAGACCCCCAACTGCTCCCCTCCTCATTTATAAGCTAATAAAGGGCGCGGTGACCTTATAGCCGCTGCTTCTCAGCCCCCTGCTGCATCCTCACTTTGTTCCTCAAAGCGGGGTCTTTAAAAGTGATGCCATTTGTTTTTGCAGACATTTACTGCACATCCTGAGGGTGCACGGTGCCCATATCCTATTCTTTGGGTGGAACCAGCAAGCTGATACCTTAATACAAGCCCATCCAAGCAAGTGCATCACAGAACCATCGCTTACCAAAGTACCTGCAGATGGAGACGGCAGAAGCGCGGCTTCGGCACACAGGACTACAGCTGCGTTGCTGGTGACATGCGGCCTCACCGCTCTCCTCTCATCCTCATTGGCTGAGCACTTCAGCTCCATTGAATATCTCTTCCTTTAATTGTAAGTTCCGGTTGTAGTTTAGGTTCCCGCTGGTACCATTTTTCCATGGCAGCTGCGACGCCAAAATCTTTGCCACCCCGGCAAAAAAAAAAAAATCCATCCAACCAGTCATCAGATCCAAGGCCTTGGTGACTCGTCCTAGAAGCCTGATTCCCTGATTCCCTGATTCCCGCCCCCACCTCCCCACGCACCCATTACAGAATTCAGCTGGTTAGCAGCACTAACAGGCTGTATTATGCTGTCATTTAGCAGACACTCGTATAAAGCTCTAAAAATGAACTTGTTGTGGTTTTTCCAAGGAAAAGAAAAGCAGACAAGGTAGGTAAACAGAGCTCATACCCCTATTCACACACATGCACACACACACCACACACACGCACGCACATGTCGGGTAAACATATCTTTGTGGGGACCACTCATCCATTTCTATGGGAAAAATGCTAACTATGACGAGCTTAACCCCCACCCAGCCCTAACCATAACCATAAGTAACCAAGCAAAATACAAGAGTTTTTGCATTTTTAGTTTGTTCATTGCAGTCGCAGATTTTTTGGTCCTCAAATGTGATCTATGCAAACCCACACACACATACACACACACACACACACACACACACATACACACACACACACACACACTGAAACCTGCTTATTTATCGCTATTTAATCATCAGGGTTCCACGGTAATGGAAGCAAAGCCCCCACTCATCAGGTGACCCAGTTAACATTAGGGGTAAGTTTCTGACGTGGCTCCAGGGTGAATGCAAAATACACAGTTCGGCTGTGCAGTGCAGATAAGGTAGAGTCACATACACAGTTCGGCTGTACAGTGCAGATAAGGTAGAGTCACATACACAGTTCGGCTGTACAGTGCAGATAGGCTGAGTCACTTACACAGTTTGGCTGTGTGTTGTGCAGTTAGGCTGAGTCACATACAAGTTCGGCTGTGCGCGGTGCAGTTAGGTTGAGTCACATACACAGTTCGGCTGTGCAGTGCAGTTACGCTGTTCTGTTGCTGGGTGAAGCACTGGAGATGGCCAAACTGTTGAGGGCTTAGTTTAGCAACTGTTAAACTGTTATAACTGTCACTGAAAAACAAGTAGCCTAAATTAATTCATATAAATAAATGTTTGTTTACCTCCATAGACAGAGGGAACATACCATCACTAAGCAATAATAAAAACACGTGGCCCATACGCCAAACCTCCTGATCGCCAGGAAACACTGCATAGTTTCTGTGAATAAGGGTTTGATCCCAGTCCAGGCAGCCCTGCTGCATGGACTGGGCTGTAATGGTGGAGAAAAACCAAGAAGACAAGCATGAGGTACCCTGGGGGCATTTTAGAGCTCATGTGAAAACGGAGGGATTGAGATTCAAGACTTTGACCTTTAGCCAAAGTATCTGCTAATTCATGCGTTGAAAGAACAATGTAACAATTATCCCTGGTACAGCAAATGCCAGTGTTCAGAATCCAGTGGCAGTTACGTCTCAGTTTGTCAAAGTTACGGATGTGATGATTCTGTACCTTCGTAAGCCACACTAATCTTACTGGGAAGTCCCTCAGTATAGAGAACAACAAAGGATTTGGAAAAGAGGAAGGAAGGAGGCGGGGCATCGTCTTTGCACAAATGTGGGGTTCGGAGCGTTTCAAAGTGCGACATGGTACAATGTCTCTGATCGGTCCCTGGTCTGTAATTGAGCCCGAAGCTGAATGAGGAGCTGGTGACTCTGCAGCGTTACCTGCTAATTTGGGTTAATGGCCGGGTTTGGACTGTGAGGAAACAGACGGGATCATTAACGCTGTCGGCTCAGGGATGCCCGACGGCAGCTTCCACACGGCGGAACCTACAGTTGTACAGAGCCCTGTGAGAGCAGGAGACTCACTCTGCTCACTACACAGACGTCCTGCAGTCACATGTCGGTGCGAAAGGGTAAAACCAAGCTGGCCTCTTCATACTCGGCCCGCTTCAGCTTTTACTAACTGCGGCGTTTCCCAGGCACCGCCTAAGACTCACAGACAGACGAGGGAAGCTGGTCATCGGTCAACATCAAGTGATGTGAAGAAATGCAACCACATCTTATTACCTGGTGTGTAATCCATCCTATTTCTGAAGCTGCTTGTCTTGTTCAGGTTCAGGGGGGTCGAGAGCCTATCCCCTAGGCTACGGGCACAAGGCAGGGCACAACCCGGGATGGGGCACCAACCCATCACAGGGCACACTCTCACACACACACACACGCACACACGCGCACACCACCACACTCACACCTATGGGTAATGTGGTAACTCCAATTAATCTCAGCATGTTTTTGGACTGTGGGGGGAAACCGGAATATCCAGAGGAAACCCAACGACGACACGGGGAGAACATGCAAACTCCACCATGTGGAGCCAGGGGGGAGACTCGAACCCTGGTCCCAGAGGTCTCAGATAACTGTTAACCACTGCACTAACCTGCCCCACAAAATGCTTGGAATATAAAACGTATAATTACCTAACTGACTTAATTTTGATTATTTTACTTTTAGGAAAAATGTTTCAAATGTAAAAATATCGCCTGGGAAACTCGTATTTGAACTGGAAAAATACCAGTCAAGACATTACGAGACATTTTGTCATGGTATCTATCTTTAGAACCTGCGATAAATATATGAGTATGACAACGTATAATGTGGTGAAAATGTTCATGGTAGAACAACATCTCCAGCTAAACAACGGCTCAGAAACTCCGGCTAACAAACTATTTTTAAGACCTTTATGTGTTTCGAGGTTTGACAAAAGCCACCAATGCGGTTGATCCTAGCTGTTTGAAACCATAGCAACAAGTTTCATGTGGTTTTTGGGGAATATATTTCTTTATAGCGTTACAGGCGAACGTACACAAGTGCCGCTGACGCTGGGTACTCCCATGGAGGTTCAAAGCATACTGTAGCTACAGGTGGACGGTACGGTTCATCTCGTCTAGTCAGCCTCCAGTTACATAGCAACCTTGCGGGAGTTCGATGCTCGATCGATGCTCTATACTTCTACCCGTCGACTTTCCGTGACCTCGTGCCCCTGTGGTGAATCTCGAGGCCACATGCTGCGCTGCTCTGTACGCGTCCCCCGTCCCCCTGACTCACCCGAGTACGAGAAGACGGGATGCTCCGTGCTGTGGCAGCCGGCCCCTGAGGTCCGGGCCCCGGCCCCCTCCCGGGGCACGCCCCCCGACAGCAGGGCGAAGAGCCCCTGCAGGGAGAGGAGGCGCCGGGCCAGGCCGCCTTCCCGGGCGGGAGCCATGGTCGACTGGGCTCTGCTCGCTGCTCCTGGCGCCCTGCCACCAGGCCCTGGACATCCGCGGAGGGGACCTGGGGAGCGCAATGAGAGGGAGAGCGGCGTCAAGCTCGTCTGCGCAGACCCCAGCCGCCTGCAGCCCCCAGAGCGCTTTGCTGGCCTGCACGTTTCTCCATCTGTGTTAGATTCTCTTATCTCTCTCAAAACCCCTCCTTGTGAACAAGCTGCGTTGGCAAAGAAATAAAACAACAAAGAAAGATTCACGTTTAATTTGAACCTCAGCAGTCTGCCGGAACGCAATTTGAAAGCCGCTCGTAAACCAGGCAAATGTTGTTTAGGGTTTTCAGTAGAATTATGCTAAAAAAAACAACCTTGGAGCCCAGGCCAGTGGGATCCGTCATCAGCTGGGGTGAGACGTTTGAGGGGCGGCGCAGAGGAGGCGGTTCCCCTGTACAGCTGAGTGACTCCTGACGGGCGTCAGCCAGTCAGTACGGGGAGCCGCCGCCCCCAGGCACCATCCCACCAACGGGGTCGGGAACCGGCCAGCGAAGCCCAAACAAGCCCACGCAGCGTCGCCGCAGTCCAGCACAGCTGTCCGGCCTGGCGCGGGCGTTCCCCCTCCTGCGGCTTTCAGCGCATGCCCCCCCCCCCCGACAGGAATCTACAAGGCCAGGCTCCCCTGGGCCGGGCGGTGAGGGACAAACCCTCAACGCTCTCATGAGGGTCTAACTGCTTCATGTGCATCCTCTCATTTCAAAGCCCAGAGTAATAAATACCAGAACTTTCCATTTTTTGTGTTTTCTTGTCAGCTGGCTCAACAGACCACAGGAATCCAGCCGTACTGCAGCAGATCCATCTAGCCCCGCCCACAATATTATGATACTCAAGCCCATTGGGCAATATCAGGATGAAAAAGTCGGGGCCTCACGTGTGACCTTTCGGCACCTGACCAGCATGATATAACCACAGACAGAGAGCAGACTTTGTTGCATAGCTGTAGCTAAACCTAGTCTCCCTACCCTGCCTAGGGGTCTCCCCACCCTGCCTAGGGGTCTCCCCACCCTGTATAGGGGTCTCCCCACCCTGCGTAGGGGTCTCCCTACCCTGCCTAGAGGTCTCCCCACCCTGTATAGGGGTCCTCGCCCTGCACTGGCCGTGATTGTGGCATCTGTCAGCCAGAACAGGAGCCAAATAGCGTTGAGTGAGCGGAATGTATAATACAGGTAAGCGCAGGATGAACCGGGACCAAAAGGACGACAGCAGAGACACACCGGCAGAGAAATACTGATTAACAGCAGGTGTCTGCGCCCCTGGCAGAGACAGGTGCTGGACAGACGGCTGAATTTGCATGTAACAGGACAAAAAATGTATCAGGGCCCAAAATAAACCAGGCCGATGTTTTCTGGGAAAAAATTACGTCTTAGCGATAGGTCTGAGACAGTGTGATGAAACAGGGGGGCGTGTCATATCGGGGCCATGAGGAACCGACCTATCGCTGCGCAGTGAATGAGGAACTGACCTATCGCTGCGCAGTGATGTAAGCAAAGAACGTAAAACCCCCAATGAAACTGCTTTGTAAAAAAGGGAAAACAAAGAGGTGACACACGAGCGTCCGAGGGGGTCTGCAGGTCTGCGTTGGTGAAGAAATGACCTCGTTATCAGTTTGCACTTGAAGGAGAGGTAAAGAGTAGCTTACGACATCTTATCAGTCCATCCATGTTCCAGTTTGTCCAATAGGAGCCCGGGGCCTAACTGAGGGCCGTACAGCCACAAGGCTAATGCCCGACATCAGCATGTGTGGCGAGATACTGACCATTCACCAGGGATGGACATACTGGGCCATTTCCTGGTGGGCCGATGGATATGTGGGACCCCCCCGTTGACACAATTTTACTGTGGGGAACCCGAGGACCAGCCCTGACATGCACACAAACACAGGCTAGGTGTCATTGGCAGAGCTGTACCAACCAAAAATCAAGCAGGAGTAGACATTGTTTTCTTTGGAAAACCTTTTTCTCTGGCCCCGGAGCTTGCATCACCCTCTTCAGTCACATGTGACCCCCAGAAAAACACTTATTGATGCAGGCTTGCGAGGGAAGGTGTAACCACCGGATCAGAGAACCTTCCAGAAGCCCAGTGTCACTCAGGAGGCCAGACAGCCGTGCGATATGGCGGAGGGATTCTCAGCAGACACAAAGCCTAAAAAGAACAGCCTGGGATCTGGGCATTTTCTCAGATATTAGTCTGCATCTCCCCTTTGGGCAGCGTTAAAATTACCTCAGAAACTGCCAGAGCATGTCTCCATTTCTACATGTTTAATGAGATGCAGAAACCAGAAACTATACATTATTCTGCTCATTTTGTCCCCAAATCTTAAAGTGTAACAGAGTGTATTATATATCCGTACTTGTTCATTTGGCTCTTTTTTTCTGCTGCGTCTTAAATTTCACAAAAAGCAGACGGTTAGCTCAACCCCCCCAAAGGACCACAAGTACCCCCCAGGCCATTTCCCACTGCAATGTCCACTGCAATGTCCACTGCATCTCTAATTATTTGTCTGCAAGATATCATTAGAAAATAGATTTTTTTACTGTTAAATACAAATTATAATACAATCCAAAGTAAATGACTTTCCACATACAGCACATACACTAACCCTAATCTTCATATTCTATGGGGTGTTTTTTTCTAAGTAGCTGCAGTGCTTAGCTTGGTAAATAAACGTAAATACAGATGGAACGTATTTGTATACCTGACCTGAAACTGCTGCCATTGTCTTTAATGGACTTTCCTGTTACTCCTCCATCGATCATTCCTATCGAATGTTCACTGCGACCGTCATTAGAAACCTGACCTAGCATTTCACAACTGTTTAGAACAGTGCTCAATAATAATGACAGCAATAAAATCCATAACTATACCCCACCATACCATACTAGTAGCGAAGTATATCCCTGAAACTGATGAAAAGATTGAGAATCTGAGCCCTGCATTTCTGTCCGCGGCTGCAGCTGCGAAGGGGTTACAGGCCGTCACTGTAAACACGCCGGTCAGCCACAGCCTCTGTGAAATTTATATGTGGAGCAGCGGAACCAGCAATTTCACCAAGTTCCACCCCTATTCTCCAGAGGCCGCGAGTCCTGGTTTTATTTTTAACCTCAGCTCTCTCTGACCGACCGAGGGAAGGAGAGGAGCGGCCAGCAGCTGAGAGGAGGAAGCCTGTGAGGTGGCGGAGGCGTTGCCCCCAGGAGCGGGGAGATTCCAGCCCCCAGACTCAACCCTAAGTGACCCTGCCCCCCAGGCCCCATCCACAGGCTCGGCGAGGTGCTCAGCTCAAGAGTGGAAGATCTAACCTACAATTAAGATCTCGTGAATCTGTGATCAATGTGTTCCACAGCCCGGCTGATTTTTATCTAACGAAATAATGCTCTAATTTCGCCATGACGGCACCATGTTTCTAGCTGACCGCTTACGCGTCTGCGGGTTCCCGCATTCTGTGACACCCTCGGTCTTTCATTTAGCGTACGTGGACCCTAGATCGCCAGCTGTGACGGGAACTCTGTGGCGGCTTCCAGCCCACAGCGCTGGGACCTTCAGCGGCGGTTACGCCAGGAGGTCAGTCTGAGCTGCTCTCTGCCAGCCTTGCAGGACGGCCGGACGTTCTCCTCTCCGCTGCCCGCCCTCGGGAGGGGGTGCTGAGGCTCTCAGGCTGCCGGGGAACAACAGATTCATGGTTCTTTCACAGACAATGTTTAGGATTCCTGTCAGGACTTTAGAGGACGCAAATTCATGCATGTGGCTGCCCTTCGCTGCCAGGCTGACTGTCACCTGCATATGTGTCTGTGTGTCACGGAGAGCGAGACAGGGCAGGAGAGAAGAGAATTGAAACCCTAACCCTAACCCTAACCCTTCAGGATCAATAAAGTATCGTTGTTATAATTTAAGTTCTCCAGCCTTCATCTTCCACCTAGAAATCTCATTTCTAGCACTTGTGTCTTTGGAAAATAAGCACAAATCCTTTAGTCATCTCAGAAAATTGGACTGATGGGCTTAAGTACCTTCGCAGGGAACCGTGCGCTGGGCTTAATGTCGTAGAGTTAAAGTGTGATTCGTGTCAGAGCCGCGATCCCAGGCTGCTCTGGCTGTCCAGCAAGGATGCGGAGCACATTGTCCCGGCATGGCCTGCATCCGCTGAAAAGCGGCAAAGTTAAAACGGAGCATTATTGCAAAGGACTTCCTTCCCTGGTGGAAGAACGGAGAAGACGTAGCCAAAAAGGCAGAGTGAGACCCTCACGGTCACATCTGTCCCCATCCCTGGACCTCCTCGGTCACCAGGCCCCAGTCCTGCAGTCATGTGTGGGCCATTGTGGAGAGCCGTCAGCAGAAATATTATGGTGTTGGCCTTTTAATCCAAACAAATGCAGTGGAAAGGCTGATTCCGTGGTCATTTTTGTATAATATTCGTATAAACTTGTTTATTTTATTGTTCCAAACAAAACCATAAATAAAACTGCTATGTGAATTATACTGATCTGTCAATGAAACGGAAATTATTTCAAAGGAAACAATCCACGGTTGTTTTCTTCTTTACATTTGTCCTTTGTGGAAAAAATAGCCACAGCAGTCATTCACCTCCAACAACTCAACCAGCAGTGCATTGTGCTAACAACACCAACGGAGCTGGTTCAAATCGTAGGGAATGCAGACAAAAATGGCTTTGGATGAAAGTGTCAAATGAATGAGTAAATGTTATGCAATGATGAGGGTTTCACATGGCATCATTCCACACCCTTGCTGGCTGCATCGCATCGTACCCATGCTATCACTGCTGCACGACATGAACCAAGCAGCCCAAAACATTATAAAACTATGGCTGACTCGAAGGACTTGCAGACATATAGTAGAGAACAGAAGCATCTGGATTTAGCTGTCGTGCACCAGGACTGGGGGGATCACACTGGGATGCAGTGCCTCTCCCAGGTGGAACCACAGAGCACTGCCACGGACTTCCACTCCACTCTCTGCTCCTCAAACAGGCCAAGAAGCCGACGTGAATGAAAAGCGACAGCCGTAC